AAGACATAGGACGTAGGATATTACGTCAAGCCGATGGCCCAAACCTGTCTAATCGCTGTCTCTTGCGTTCTGTGTCACCATCCGGTTTCCTCATGTATACCTCCACCGATTCATCTACTACCGTGGGCATACCCTTCGGTAGACTGCCAACCAGATTTTGTTGACACCCATAGAGATAGAGTTCGCTACTATGGTCGACAACGTAGTCTAGACTCCCAGAGCTAAGAGCCTGACCTAGGGAAAAGGCGCTGCCGGCGGGTATGATTTTGTTGGAGAAGCGTACGTCACCTTCGAGGGCGACACCTCTAGATCCGGTGGTGAGGATGGTGGCTTGGGCCACCAAAGGGTGGCGATCACACATGACACTGCCCCCTACCTAGCACACCAACTGTCGTGGGTTCATAACTAAGGTAGTGATTGGGTTGTTCGACGTGGGTTGATGTGTGTACCTCCGGTGGCTTAAGCACTAAAAACACAAGGGGTTTATCCTAGTTCGGCGTCTAAGCCCTATGTCCAATAGTGGTGTTTTCTTCATGTTAGGAATGCACAATTGAGAGTTCTTACAATGGAAGAATCGAGAGTGAGTTGTAGGGGGAAGTGCTATGCTAATCTAGGGTTTGATTGGGCTCGGTTGACCGATCGTCCCATGGTTCGATCTTACAATCCCTCTCTATGGCTTAGTCTCTGATCTCTTCTACAAGAGCCCATGATTTCTAGCCCTATGCTTCGGTCATCGTCTTTCTTGGCATCGTCGGTCCTCCTTTATCTTGTAGCTAGGGGCCGACAAAACCACAACCACTTCCTGACACCACCACTGCTGCAGCTTGGTGCTGACCGCTAGATGTTGTTTCTGCTGCAATGGTGCCTTCCCTGGGTGAGCCTTCTCCTGGCTTCCTTGGTATAACAGGCTTCCCCTCCTGCCTGAAGGAGCTGCCAATCGGGCCCGAAGCTCCGCACTATGCGACTTTAGGGGAGTTTCTTGTCCTGACGCATCATGCCCTGGGTGTGACCCTGCCGAGGGATTGGCCGACAATGCCACGTGGCTTCTGTACCTGTCAGGCTTAGATTTTGGAGCTGGTTTCCGGCATTGCTTGGAGTGAATGCTCAACCCAAGCAAAGGTTAGGGCAAGCATTGGTTGTGTTGCTTGGCGGGGTTCTCCTAGGTCGGGACCTCCCTATGCCTTGGCCGAGCCCCCGAGCAAAGGCATGCCCTTCTGACACTAGGGATTCCTTCCAGAGAGGGCCATCTATGGACTACTAAGTCATCCCCTGTTCGCTAGAGGGTGTGCGCGAGCGCACACGATGGGTAGCCCACGAGCCCCTAGCTGATTACGAAAATCAGTCGAGGGGTTAGCTAGACTGTCAAGCCCTTAATTCGAGGGTTTAACATACCCCTATATTACACTCTCGTCGGTTGTTTTCCAAAATGTAGAATACAATGAAACATAGTTTTATTTTTTGTTTTATAAGCATTTAATTGTATGACTCATCTAGAGTTGGAAACGAGATAAACATAATTTTATTCTCATAAAACTCACATCTTCTCTCTCCTGAACAACGTGGTCGCATCATAAAAATATTTATTTTTCAACCTATTAAATGCAAATGCAAACTATAAAACCCATTGAGACTTGTCTTAGTGGCGGAGATAAGGGGCAAGACCCCATAAAGTCCTTACAATTTCCACTGAAATTTTTAAAATTTGATCATTTTTTAAAAAAAATCATTGCTAACCCACGTAGAAAAAAAATCATATTTCTAGCTCCGCCTCCGGGCTCTGGGTTAAACTAGTCCTCTGACTATCATTCCGATATACTCAATGATTGCTGATAAATTGCCCGAGAGTTTCAATCTAACATTTCAGCTGAGGTGTTTAAGGTTAGTCCAGCTCAAGAGTTCCAGTCAACCTTTCAGGTGACGGGGCTGGCCTCCCGAAGGCGTCACTCGGACTCGAGGGCTCCTCTGGCTCCTCCCCCGAAGGCAATACTCGAACTCGGGGGCTCTCACACGCCTTACCCGAGTAGGATTTTGGGAGGGCGCTTTGTGACGTCGGGAAGGCATCTGCCAGTCAGAGGAGCCAACCTCTTCAGAAAATTAAAACATACGTGTTCCAGTTCGAGCACATTGTTTGTCCTATACAAAGCGTGGGTACAATATAAATGAAGATCAATTTTCATATATACGTAGTGTATTCTAGAGTGTTTGTAACGTGTTGATGTACTCAACTATAATCTAATATAATTCTTCTTTGGTCTAAAAAAAAGTCAACCATTATAAACTTTGGTTGCATAATACCTTTTATGTATTAATGAGTTTGGATTTTAGAAAACAATACGAGTAGATCTGAATAATTTGTAGCAAAAAGTTCTACTCATAAGTCGTGTTTTGGAAACCATTTTGATGTCGAAAACACTTTGGGTGTATTTGCTTCGTGCCCTGGCCTAGATGTTGACGCCACGCGGCCAGCATCCACCCAAGGCTAAGCAAATCGTTTGAGGATGTTGTCTGGCCCAGGAATCCAACGAGGCCCTATGTAACTAGAGGGTACGGAAGACAATAACACAATTCATTTACGTCACATCAGCGTTAGGTTACCACATTATAATGATTAGCATACTTTGACTATTTACACCTTGTATTCTATACCCTTTTCTAGTAACATTCAGTGTCGTCTCAGCCAATAGAATCGTCCAAATTTTAGCGGTATCAAAAATACGTACAACCATTTCGACAGAGCCGAAGAATCCGAAATAGAAGATCTATGTAAAAGATGTTGTTCAGTCAAAACTACACGCTATAAATTATCAATCTTATTACTTGCATAGGAATCATAAACTCTCCTCTGGCTGCCCAAGGATTTCACTTGATATCGGACAAAAGAATGGGTGCCTTTAGGCCTCGTTCGTTTGGCGCGGATTGAGGGCCGGAAATAATCCAGCTGATCATTACTACTATAAATAAACTTGACATTCCATCCAGAACTGTTCTAGGCCTCCATTCCCCGCTAAACGAATGGGTCCTTAGGTGGTTTATTCTTCTCGAATGATATCCCCGGCCTTCGGTTGATCAGTCGTCACCGTGATGAAATCTTGTTCGGCTTCTCCCGACCAAACTGAGTTAAACTTGTAACCAAATAAAGAATGGTCACCTTGCTAATGGGCAATGGCAACATGTCCGTAAGTAGTGTGACTGACGCCATCTCCAAGGCCGTAGAAATTGAAATACGTATTCCATTTGGTCACGTACATGTAATCACCTGTTGGCCGCCTTTGCATTCCCGATCCTACAAGAAGCGGTAATGCTATATGTCTGGCGTCCACTTCTTCACCTCCGGACGCGGCTCACGCTCCTCCACTCGCCCCCCTCGCCTTATCCTCATCCACCTGCCCCACGTCGCTCAGCCCGCTTCATGCGAAGACGCTCGCCGTGCGCCCCCCGCCTGTTGCCCCTCCCTCCCGCCGCGACCCCCATCCTACTGGAGAGGAGGGCGACGGTGGCAGCTTCCAGCGAGCCGCCCCCCCCCCCCCCCTCCTCCCCTCCACAACCCCCATGCCACCGGAGAGGAGGGCGGCGGCGGCGGCTTCCGGCGAGCTGCCCCTCTCTCCCTCCCTCCTTCCCCCCACGACCTCCATATCACCGGAGAGGAGGGCGATGGCGGTGGCTTCCGGCGAGCTGCCCCTCCCTCCCTCCGTGATGTCCATGCCACCGGAGAAGAGGGCGACCGCGGCGGCTTCCGGCGAGGTAGGTGGGTGCTTCTCTGGATATAAGCCCTCTTCCTCCACCTCCTCCTCCTCCTCCTCTCGATCTAAGGGATGCGGCGGTGGCTAGGGTTTCGGCCAGCACTCGGGATCAGATCTCGCCGTGTTGCAATGGTTTTTTTATGTTGCAATAGATGATTTCGAATGTTGCAATGGGATTTTTTTGGGTTGTTGCAACAGATGTTTTTGCGATGTTGCAGTATGTTTTCAGTTGCTTCAATCTCATGTTGCAGTAGTTGTTCCATGTTGTTGCAAGTGTTTTTATTTCGAACATTGTTTCATATGCTTCACACCATTGTTGCAATAATATGTTCCAAATATTTCAGCTCCTTCAACCTATTGTTGCAGCAGTTAGTTCGGTGTTGTTGCAATAATATGTTCATCGTGTTTCAGCTGCTTCAGCCTAATGTTTCTGCTGTTGTTCCTTGTTGTTGCAATACTATGTTTATAGTGTTTCAACTGCTTCATCCCAATGTTGCAGTTGTTGCTCCTTGTTGTTGCAATATATATGTTTCATGGTGTTTTCAGCTGCTTCAGTATAATATTGCAATAGTTGTTTCCGTGTTGTTGCACGTGTTTTATTCTAGTTTTCTATGTTGTTTGGCGCGGAGAGGCGAGCCGGGACGGACGGGGGGCGCGTGGTTCGCCGGGGCCTAGCGGGCGGAGGTGCTGGGGCCGGCGGACGCGGGGGTGCCGGGGCCATGAGGGGTGCTAGGCATGCAGCATGCTCGTCGTGGGCGTGGGGCGGACGCGACAGGCTACGGGGCGATCTGGGGGCGTGCGGACTCGCGCGACACAGAGGCTAGCAGGGCTCTTCGTAGGCATCGCGGGTCGCGGGTTCGTCGGTGTTAGTGGGGCTCTTCGTTCGACGAAGACGCAGCAGTGGTAGTTCGCGCGGGTGCGCAATCTCGGGCGGCGATGGCGGTCCATGCTGCTGCCCCGGCCTCGTACCATCGCCAGCGGGTCCGCTCCTTGCGCGCGTCTTCGGGGGTGTGCTGGTAGCGTGCGGTGCGGAACTGGGGAAGGGGCGCGCGCTAGGGGAATGCGGACTGGGAAGCGGACGAGGGAGATCAAGCGATGAGGGGCGTCCGGAGGCTAGCACCCGGATCGGACGTCCGGAAACTAGCAGTTCCGTATAAGAAGGCACGAACCAAGCCTCGCCACCCCGCACCAGCAGAGCTGACCTCAAGCTTACACACATACCTGTCATTTCTGCTCACCTTCACGTGTGCAATCCTTGCAATGGCGAACCATGGCACCGCCGCTCTTGTGATCGCGTGTCTCCTTGTCGCGGTCACCCTGGCGAGCGCGGCCCCGCCGGTGTCGCCGCTGGTCTGCAACAAGGTGTACGGGGTGGAGGAGCGGGAGACGTGCTTCGCCGTGGCGGAGGCAGCCGGGCTGACCCTGAAGCAGTTCCTCCGCTTCAACCCCAACATCAACTGCCAGAGCCTCTTCATCGGCCAGTGGGTTTGTCTTGATGCCGCTCGCGCTTGATCGAGTAATCGAGTTTGAAAGCACCTCGTTACGTACTTACGTTCGTTCTATATGTTTCCCAAGGAAGAAGGTTCGTGCTCTGAATAAGGTGTTTTACGAGAGCCTTAGCTGCTATAAGTATGGTCCCTGGTCCGCTTAATATTTCTACTTTCCTGTACTGTTGAGGTCTTGTGGAGTCTTCTGCCATCACTCTGTTCCAGTCTGGCGCTGTAACAGATGCGCCAAGAAAATGGCTATCAATTATTGTGACGTTGTGTCTCATGTTCCATTCCGTGTTCTTCGTTTCTCTCTTGCATGGTGCTTGTATACGGACTGTGAAGGTTGTATCAAATGCAAAGATGCTCTCAAAGACAAAAGTGTGTTCTACATTCTATGCCTGCTTGCACACTAAGCCTTATCTAAGGCTATTGTGGGGGTACGACCCCGGATACCCACGGTAGACCACATGGGCTGCGCCCCCAGGGGCGGCCCAGTCCACAAGATGAAGCCTTGCAGGGCACGACGTTGCTCGGCGTCTCCCGTAAGACATCGGGAAGATATCCTAAAGATACTACGAGATCTGTTAGGATACGTATGATCCCATGATTCCTGTAATCTGTTATTACTTTCCGATTATCTCTTAGATCTAACCGACTTGTAATCCTGTCCCCCGGACTATATAAGGCAGGCAGGGACCCCCTCCAAACACATGTAATATCATACGATAGCCAATACAATCCAACATACCACAGGAATAGGGTATTACGTCATACTGACGGCCTGAACCTGTCTAACTCATGTGTCTCTGTTGCCTTCTTGTTCTCGATTATACGCATCTCTGCCGATCAATCTACCTTCGTGGGATACCCCTCAGAGAACTGCCGACGATATTCTGTCGACAGCTATCAGCCAAACAAGCAGCTTTTAAGACTTCAACTTCACCTTGGCATGCTTCCATCAGTGCCTCAAAACAAGTTGTTTTTCTTGAGAACCTAAAATGCAAGTATATGCATGACTAAGAGTAAGAGAAATATGTACACACTATTAACAACTAACCTCCTTTGTCATGTATTAAAAAGCAACAAAACATTACAACCAGGGGCAGATCTAGCATCGGAGTGGGGTGGGCTCGAGCCCCGCTACCACTACTCAAATCATGGAGCCCTTCCTAAGTCTCTCCTACAAATTGGTATCTATGCAAACTTTGAAAGGAAGGGCTAGAGAAGCTCCTCCTAACTTATTTTATTAGATATACTAATGTTACAACTTACAACAAACCTTAACATAGAACTTTAAACCAATTGGGCCTAGCGTTATGAGAAGAGAAGTTCTTCTCGAACCCAATTGCTCGCAAGTGCAGCCTGAGAAAATCGGATCATCTAGTTTCTCAAACTAGGACATTTAGTTTTGAAGATGCCCTCCAATGACAACGGAGTTCACCATTGCATAGTTCTCATCGATACGGTTGAAACGCATATGTAGGTCCTGTTTGGAACCACTTATATAAAATCGATTCTAATCTAATTAAGAATTTCTTATAAGTTGTGGTCCAAATAATCTCTGGTACAAAGAATTGAGGTGTTTGGCACTCTAATTATTATGGAAATTCTAAGTGTGCAAAGACTTTTATCCCCTTCTTCCTCATATCATTGTTTCAACGTACCTCGGCCATCACCGTGGCCGCTCTTCTGCCTCGATCTCCTACCCGACTGCTCTTCCGCCCCCGCCGAGCTCCCAAGCAGAGGATAGCAGTGCCCCGAGCTATGTCCTCCAACTCAATGAAGTTCCCATGCGGAGGGGCAGATCTCCGTGCGCCTCTTCAGCGCCTTGGCGGATCGGGCAGCAGCAGACGGAGCAGCACATAAGAGCAACCGGTGGGCAGAGCCATGATGAAAGGGAGGGGCACCGGAAGGAAATCGGTTGCGATGGAGAAAACGCGGCAGATCCTCCGCGGTACATGATTGTCGGGTGCTAGTTCAATTCCAAATTCTTTTCACCTCCTGATTCTTAGATAATCGAGAAAGAATCAAGTAGTTTGGGTGAGATTCTCTATTATTTTCACTAAGAATCTAATTTTAAGCATTCCAAACAGGGCCATAAAATATCCAATTACGACTCGAAATGAGAGAGTTGCAACTTACAACAATCGAAAGCTTCCATGCTTGTTAAAATTAGGACATCCGGTTTTTGCTAGGCATAATAGATTTGAATCGATTTTTAAGCATAACTCTCTATGGATTTAGAGTCTATCGAGGAAAAACCTCTCACCCTTAATAAACCCTATATTTCCAATTCCATGTGTTGAGTTGGTTGAGCTGCTAGTCCAATCATGAGTTCTGTTTAATGTAGGGTGTGTAAAAGTGATGTAGTGGTGGTAAATGGCAAGGGCGGATCCAAGATCACGCTAGGACCCAGACCGAGGAACACATGAAAGTGCTACAACTAGAATATTAGAGCTCTAATATATCATTGTTTAGATGATTTACCATTGATTTGTTAGATCAAAGGCCCGGACTGCAGCACAGCTAGCCCGAGGGCTATGCTCGCTACTGGTAAATGGTTGTGCACACCGAGCCCTCGATATGTGATTTGCGAGCGAGCTGCTCAATTCAACCTCCCTACTGGGCTCATGGCTAGGCTCCTCTAGAAGGCTTCTAAGGTCAGTTTAACTTGATTAAGGTCACGTTTGGCAGAGCTCCAAGTCTAAAAACTAAGATCCAGATCTGCAGATCCACTATAGAGCAGCTCCAACATGGATCTAGGATCCCACTATTGCCGAGAAGAGTGTTTTATAGAGCTCCATGATGGATGCACTGGGCCGGCCCAACAGTCAACAAATTGCAGCCCAACAGCAGGCCACTCGTGGGAGCTCCTAATTCTCCTTTGTCTCACTGACGTCCTGGGTCCACAGACTTCATCTTCTTCGTAGGAGGCAGAGCACGGGCGGCATCGGGCATGGGGCATGGCCGAGCACCGGTGGGACCGTCGTGGCTCGGCCCAGCATGGCGGCCCTCGGTGCGGGCACGACGCTTCTAGTGGCGCAGCCGGGGCTCGCTCGGCCGGCGGCGGCCATGGCAAAGGAGGGGCTATGCGAGAGGGCAGCTAGCTTGGCGTGGTCCAGCGCGGTCGGGGGCTGGCACGGCCAGGGGCCTGGCGCCGCCGAGGAGGGGCTGGCCGAGGCAGCCTGGGTGGCGCATGAGCGTTCTGCTTAGTCGCGCGGGGAAAACGACGGGAAAAAAAATATAACGAACTGTTTTTTTTATGGATGGAAATGGCGGGTTATTATCACCTAACTTCAGGCTCCAAAGGGGGCTATCTTCGATGTCGTCTCAGCCAATCGAATCGTCTAAATTTTACCATTATCAAAAATATGTACAAAGAGGATATCATTTCGACATAGCCAAAGAATCCGAAATAGAAGATCTATGTAAGATATGAAATCCTTGTTCAGTAAAAACTACACGATGCAAATTATCTTATTGCTTCCATAGGAACCATAAACTCACCCTCTGGCTGGCCAATGATTCACTTGATCCCGGACAAAAGAACGGATGCCTTTAGGTGGTTCATTCTTCTCAATGGTACGGTGTCCCCTGCGTTCGTCAGTCGTCACCCTGATGAATTCATGTTCGGCTTCTTCCCGAGCAGATAAACCGGATGAAACTTCGACTTGTTTCACCTAAGGCAAGAATGGCCTCCTTGCTAATGTGCAACAGCGACATGTTCATTAGTAGTATCACCATTTTGGCTGGAACTGACGCCATTTCCAAGGTCGTGGAATTCGCGTGTCATTTTGTCACGTACATTGTAATCGCCTGTTGGCTTTTGCACTCGCCACGCTATAAGAAGGCACGAACCAGCAAAAGCCTCAAGCTCACACATACTAGCTCATTCTCGCTAGCTTCATTCCATCACCTGCACAAAACTTGCAATGGCGAACCGTGGCACGGCCGCTCTTGTGTTCGCGTGTCTCCTTGTCGCGGTCACCCTGGCGGACGCAGCAGTCCCGCCGGTGTCACCGCTGGTCTGCAACAAGGTGCACGGGGTGCAGGAGCGGGAGACGTGCTTCGCCGTGGCGCAGGCCGCCGGGCTGACCCTGAAGCAGTTCCTCAGCTTCAACCCCAACATCATCTGCCAGAAGCTCTTCATCGGCCAGTGGGTTTGCCTTGATGCCGCTCACGCTTGACAGAATTTGAAGGCAGCGTATAACGTCGTTATGTTCGTGTGATGTTCGTGCTCTGAATAATAAGGGGTCTCATATATATATACTCCTATGTGTAATGTGTTTTCGAGCCTTAGCTGCTATATATAACTAAGGTTCGCGCTGAATATTTTCAACTTTCCTGTACTGTTCTGGAGTCCTCTGTCGTCACTGTGTTCCAGTGTGGCGCTGTAACAGATGTGGCAAGAAAATGAATGTCAGTTGTGTGTCCCATGTTCCATTCCGTGTTCTTCGTTTCTCTCTTGCATTGTATGGCTATCCATGGTGCTAGTATATGAACTGTGAAGGTTACATCAAATGCAAAGGTGCTCATCAAAGTACAAAAGTGAGTTCAACGCTCTATGCCTCCTGGCAACGTATCTTTCTATTACTAATTAGAGTCCTTAGATGGAGTCTCTACGTTAATCCTCACGAAAAACAAAAAAAAAAGATAGATTCTACAGACTATCATATTAATTTGGTAGACTTTAATTACCATCTTAAAAAAATCCACCTTTATCATTTTTAAAAATACATAAAGTAATCCTCTAAATTTACATCTAAATTATCTACATGTGTCTTATATATAAATGATAGACCTCTCCCATTATAAAAGATAATACAAAGTAACACCCAAATTTGTTTTTAAATTACCCACATTTATCATTGTGAACGATACCTCTTCAAATTTATCTTAATTACACACCTTTGTCATTATAAAAAAACTAAAATATCCACCAAATCCACGTTTAAATACCAATATAAACTATTATAGAAAATAATCTAATATCTACAAATTATGTTATATGTGTTTCTAAATTACATACTTCTACCATTGTTAAATTAAAAATAAGCATCAGTACTATACACTACTATATAAACCAAGTTAACATAATATATTTAGGATAAATATTTGTTTCAATAGTTTACTAATCACGAAAAATGTGTTGCCTTAACATACCAAATATCAATGACACCAGTAATTCATTTTCTATATTATTGATACTTATGACAACAAAATTATAAACATTTACTTTAGAAATACATTTTGACTGAAATGCTATGATATATCAATGGTGTGAATTCATTTTTTAAAAAACTCTATGTTTTAGAAAAGGAAAAAAAGTCTACTTAACCTCCTCACCTATTAGTGGTTGTCTACTTCACCCCCTCACCTATAAAACTAGGTATTCTATCCCTCAAACTATTGAAAATTGTCTAAATAACCCCCTGAGGTCATTTTGAATGTGGTTTTATTGATGTGGCATATTAAAAAGTCTATATAATCCCTAACATATCAAGGGTTGACTGCATGACCCTCTCAACTATAAAACATGATATTATACAGCCTGTTCGCTTGCTCGTAAACGATCGTAAATTTCCAGCCGGGAATAGTGTTTTTCTCTCACACCAAACCAGCCAGCAGTAAATAATCCATGATACGATACGGCCTCCCGAACAGGCTGATAGCTCGTAAAGCATCACATGATGTTTAAATGACTCATCGAATGGTCTTTAGGGTCGTTTCGACACCATATCTCACCATACTGACCTAAACACACATGCTTGCATGCAGGCCATTTGTTGCCTCCACCTCACTACTCTTTCTAGACTAACCAACGGCCCAACGAGGAGCATGTGACATCTTGTTTCCTACTTCACCTCCCATCACTCGTCGATGGCATTGAACTCAAGCATGCCACGCCTACATCATCGTCGTTCAACCCCTCCCACATCCTCCATCTGGTCGTCCTTCAATTTTTTTAGGTAGCCATAGAAGGAGAAAGCGAGAGGGGGACGAGGATGTGGGAGGAGCCGGATGACAAGGGCACAAGCATAGTACATGTGCTCAATGTCGTCGAGGAGTGTATGAGGTGGAGTAGGAAACAAGGTGGTGCTTATCGGATGGTAGCACAGGCCTGAAAAGAGTTCAAAGAGGGAGGAAGCAGATGTCCTGTGTCCAAGCATGTGTGCATAGGCCAAAACGTGGTGGGATACGGTGTCCAAATGATCATACATGACCATCATCTAAATATTATTCGATGCTTTAAGAGCTACAATATCATATTTTATGGTTAAGGGAATTATGTAGTCAACCCTCGATATGTTAGAGGGTTATATAGACTTTTTTAATATGCCACGTCAGCAAAATCACTTTTAAAACCACCTTAGTTTTGAGGGGTAGAATACCTAGTTTTGTAGGTAATGGTGTGAAGTAGACAACCACCAATAGTTGAGGGGGTTAAGTAGACTTTTCCTTTTAGAAAATAATAGTACTATAAATACAATTCTTTGATATGGAAAATTCAAAATCTTGATTGTCTTTGGTGTAGGCTTAAACTATTGTTTATGTTATGGTCTAGGACCTAGGATTTAGTTTTAATAAAACATAAAAGAATTAGGACAAAATATAGAATAAGGACTAGAATTTCAATTTAACACATGCATGGATAACAAAGTTGTATCAAATATATATTATACTAAAAAGTGAAAGTCAATGTATAAATTCATGATGTCATAGAAAGGAAGCAATATGAGCTAATATAACTTAAACTATGGTTTCAACTAAATAATAATTATTGTTGGGCAATGCTACGGTACTCCCTTTACTTATTAGGAGATAATAACTTAAATAAATCTGAGCCATCAATTTTTTTTTAGATTTTTGAATTAATTAATTAATCTAGAACATACAAATTTTCTTTTTAAGGAAAAATACAAAATATTCTCAAACCCCTCCGACGAAGGGAGACACGGATGGTCATACGGCTCCTTCCTTTTTCACGCGCATGGCCGTATCCTTCCTTTTTGTGTGGCTCAACTACAAAAATATATGTTATATACATGAAAAATATCAACAACTAACATGTTAATTGAGCCATAAACTTTAGCAATATAATAAAACATGTCACATGTCAACACGTTACATAGTCAAGTATGCACATAGTCATTTGGGAGTACCACAACAAAGTCCTTCATTATTATCATTTTATTTTGGTACTTAAGCTTTAGGCCTCTTTTTAGAGTTTGGCAGATCCCGCCCACGGTGGTCGATCTAGGACGGTAGTTAGCACTCCAAACATTCTTTTTCTCAATATAAGTACACATGAGATCAATACAACAAACCGTTGGTTCTCAACCTGTTTCAGTCACCTCAGGCTACATATAGGAGAGTTCTACACGTTTGCCATCTGAATTTGCCACACTTAACTCCATGCAAGTTCTTCCTGTTCTCTGAAGTGAAGACATCCTATCAACATTTATATATCTATCTCATTAAGCTCATGATGAACTAATTAATTAAAAAGCATAGCAAAAAATATATAAAAAACATACACCCCGCATCACACGTGGACAATAATTTAACCGGAGCAGTTTCGTACCTACTGTTGAAATAATAGAAGGCGCCACGGCAATGCATACACGAAGTAGACACGTCACGTAGTTAACATGAAGATGATTTGGCATCGATCATTAGCAGTAGCCATATATACCTGAGCCACACGCCCACACCCACACTGTAGCAACTAATAATGCAGCTAGCAAAAACCTGATGGGCAACAGTAGCGCCCGGACATGCGTCCGGATGCAGCGTCCGGTCCTGACACAGCGCTCACGCCCGACTAAGCTCCTCGCCCGCGCCGGTCTAAGCCCGAAGTAGTCCACGAACCTGGTGATGGCATAGGCGAGCAGGTTGTTGATCCAGGAGCAACGCGATGAGGACCCACTCCAGAGCCATGTACGACAGCGCAAACACGACCCTACGCACGTCCTCTCGTGGAGTGCTGCCGCCAGCTTACCAGCTGACGCCGTCATGGCTCCTGTGCCAGCTCTCTCTCTTCCGGCTCAACTACCCTATATTTAGATTTACTTTTGCAACACTTAGATGAAACAATTGTAACATACATCTGAAAACAGATGAAACATTTGGAATATACACTTGCAACATAGCCATTGTAACATATGCAACATCCAGTTATAACACTTGCAACATACGTTTGAAACATATGAAACATTTTAAATAAATTCTTGCAACATACGTATATAGCCATTGCAACATCCGGATCTACCTTTGCAATATCCATATGAAACACTTAAACATATATCTGAAATATCTAAAACACCTGGAACACATATTTACAACACGTGTTTTCAGCGCAACACAATACGGACGCGCGGAACGAGTGCGGAGCGGCCCGTCCAGACGCACGCCCTACAGCAAGCATTATCGAAACCTGATCCTTGAGTCCTTTCCTTGACTGACTCACCCTCCGCTGCGAACTCCACAACTGCAGAAACAGTCAGTACCGCTAGCTCGGGGGCCGGGGCCAAAATTTAGCCTGTTCGGTTGGTTGGTTCGTTTCGTTGCTGGTTCGTGAAGAAATACTACTAGCTGGTTTGTGTGAGAGAAAAATACTGTTCCGGCTAAAAATTTACGATCATTTACGACAAACCACAACCAAAAGAACATGCTCAATTATAGCCGAGGGCAGAACAGGGACCGGACCGGAACGCGATGCCACCATCCATTCCTTCGGGCGCCGGGTGATTTGATCTGATTCTGAACAGGTGATGTGGCCACTTCACTTGTGAGCTGTCCCGTTTCCCGAGGTTAACAGCTTTGCTTCCTTTCCGAGTGAGATGCACAGCCGGGTTCGCAGCGGTCTCTCTCTCTATCTGTCAATCTCTGTGCGAATAATGCTCCGTATAACCAGATAGAAGCAAAAACTTCAGCATCACCAGGCGCGCGGTAGAGCACGCATGCATGGCGACAAACGCCAGTTAGGTTGATTCCGTCACCAAGCACGTACTACGTACGTACGCGCCGCGCGTGCACGACGAGGAGGAGGTGAGGTACGTACGCTCTTGCTAGCGGCGTATAGCTGCTTCCTGCTTGCGCCTATATAGCCGTCCATCACGCGTCGAGTCCTGCGGACGCCGTCCTCTGCTCCATCACCCACATGCCACGGCCTCACCACCTGGCCTGGCCGGCTGGCCACGCGTAGTCGTCGTCACTACTCACAATCAGTAGCAGCATCCACGCCATCGATCGGCCATGCCAGCCGAGCTCTGGCCGCGCCTGGCCGCGGCCACCTCATCCGCGGCCTCGTCGTCGCCGTCCCCTCACGGCGCGCCGCAGATCAGAGCCGGCGAGCAAGACGACAGCAGGCTGCCTCCGCCGCCGCCGCCGCCGCCGACGGCGGCCACGACGCGGGAGGGAGGCAGCAGGAAGCGCCGGCGCTGGGGCGTGGAACCCGCGCGCGAGTAGCTGGGCGACGGAGTGGGACCGCGCGTACCTGCTCGCCTGCGCGGCGGGGCTCATGGTCGACCCGCTCTTCCTGTACGCCGTGTCCGTCAGCGCGCCGCTCATGTGCGTCTTCCTCGACGGCTGGTTCGCGGCCGCGGTCACCGCGCTCCGGTGCGCCGTGGACGCCATGCACGCCTCCAACCTGCTGCTGCGGCTCCGGGAAGCGTGCTCGCCGAGGCGGGAAGACACGGACGAGGAGGAGGCGCAGCCGGGGCGCGACGACGCACGCGGCGGCGGCGGCGGCGGCGGCGGCGGCGTGCCGGAACGGGGGAGGTCCAAGAAGGGGGTTTTCTTGGACATGCTGGTCATCCTACCGGTGATGCAGGTGCGCCGTCGGTCCCTATCCGTGCATGATTCTCGTGTCTTCTTTGAAAATTGAGATGCTAGTGCTTTCATCTGTCTCTTCTTGGGCAAAAAAAAAATAGAAAAGGAGAAGAATTTGATCAATTTAGCTGGGGCGGACTTGCCGCCCGGCGACCTCAACGAACACGCGATGGAACGCAACAGAGTTTTTGTGTTATCTGATGGTCTGAAAATATATATTTTTCTATAACAAATACTCATCATAGTTAGATTTGCCCGGGCTCTAAAACTTTCCTGGGTCCACCATTTTAGCATGAATTTCTCGGTGGACAATGTTTCGCACTCCAAGATATGAACGGATATCACTCATATTATATATTATATTTGTTTTCATATTTCGGATTCGGATTCGGATTCAAATATGGATAGTATCAACCATGCCGGATAGGATACGATTAGATATCGACATCATAAATATGCGATTTTAGTATTCAGATACGGATAAGGTATCGAACGTTGAATATCCGGACTCGGATACGGACAAATCTGAACCCCTCTAAATGGATTCGGTCTCGAATACGGTCGAAAAATATCCATACCAATTTTTACCCCTGCTCATAAACCATACTTACCTTCCATTCCGTGGCAGCATGCTGAATGCGGCATCGCATTTCCCCGTCACATTCTGCCGAGCAAATGGCTGCATGTGATCCGCTGCTCCTCCGAGCACTGGCCACATCCCACCTCCGCCATCTTTCTGGCGACCTGGGATGCCGATTATTTCCAGCGGTTTGAGAGGGTCGTTTCAAGCAGCGATCTGCGCACGTACGAAAGTCGGTTTCGTTTATCGGCGTGGCGTTGCAGGATGGGACCATTGTGCTTGCGCAATTCAGTAGTAGCCTGCAATGCATGCTGGACGATGCAGATTGGGCCCGTTCATCAAACGATGTGAACCAACAATGCGCTCCATCAATCAATGCAGATTTAAACTTCTTTCCAACGAGGCCCAAACGACCCCCACTTGGAACTGTGGACTGTGGACGCCGGCCTCGTCATCTTTTCAGTGGTGTGGTACCATGTCACTCATGCATGCCGCGTGACCATTTTTGTGCGTTCGCAGGTGGTCGTCTGGGTGGCGTCGCCGGCGATGATACGCGCCGGGTCGACGACCGCCGTCATGACCGTGCTGCTGGTGGCGTTCCTGCTCGAGTACCTGCCCAAGATCTACCACTCCGTCCGCGTCCTGCGCCGGATGCAGGACGTCTCCGGCTACCTCTTCGGCACTATCTGGTGGGGGATCGCGCTCAACCTCATGGCCTACTTCGTCGCCGCTCACGTGAGTCGTCCGTCCTCTCTCGTTTCACCCTCGTCTCCCTGCATACCGACTGATGTGTCCATCGAACATATTGCCCCCTCGACGACGACGGCTTAGACATTTCGGTGAACTCGTCTAGTTCGTCGGTGCATGGAAGTCAATAGCATCCTAGCTACTCCTTGCCCAACCACCGCATCCTCCCAAGACTAACAAGGCAAATGTGACCAGGCATTTTGTCGTGAATGCACGGGCATCTTACAACTAATGGTCTCTCGGCGAAAAACGACGCCTGCGGCGCCATGATTCTGTGACAGCTAGACATGCCATTCTTGGTTGCAGGCGGTGGGTGCGTGCTGGTACCTGCTCGGCGCGCAGCGGGCCACCAAGTGCCTTAGGGAGCAGTGCGCCCAGGCCGGGAGCGGGTGCGCACCCTGGGCGCTGGCGTGCGCGGAGCCGCTCTACTACGGGCGCAGCTTGACCGTGGGGGCGGACAGGCTCGCCTGGGCCGGCAACGCCACGGCCAGGGGCACGTGCCTCGACAGCGCCGACAACTACCAGTACGGGACCTACCAGTGGACTGTCATGCTGGTGGCCAACCCCATCAGGGTCGACAGGATTCTGCTCCCCATCTTCTGGGGACTAATGACTCTCAGGTGAAAATGCTGTCGCAGTCGCATATTATCCCTTCATTATTGGCTCGATCGATGCGTATTATGGCTACTGATGGTGCGAATTTTTTTCACTGCTGCCGCCGCTGGCGCTGCTCAGCACCTTTGGGAATCTGGAGAGCACGACGGAGTGGCTGGAGATCGTATTCAACATCATCACCATCACCGGCGGACTGATTCTCGTGACAATGCTCATAGGGAACATCAAGGTAATAAATAACGAAACGGTCACGGTCACTCAAAACAGGGATGCCGAGTGCATGCATCCATGTGGTCTGTACTGTACGATCGTCTTGGTGGCTGATGGTCGATGCATGCGATGCGAACGGCAGGTGTTCCTGAACGCGACGACGTCCAAGAAGCAGGCGATGCACACGCGGCTGCGGGGCGTGGAGCTGTGGATGAAGCGAAAGAACCTGCCCAGGAGCTACCGGCACCGAGTGCGGCAGTACGAGCGGCAGCGGTGGGCGGCCACGCGCGGCGTCGACGAGTGCCGCATCGTCCGTGACCTGCCGGAGGGCTCCGCCGGGACATCAAGTACCACCTCTGCCTCGGCCGTGACGTCTCGTCAGTTTTGGCCGCGCTGCTGGTGCATCACGTGCTCGTCGCGCGCGTAACTGATGCGACAAGCGGCACAACCGCAGGTGCCACTATTCCAACACATGGACGACCTGGTGCTCGAGAACATCTGCGACAGGGTCAAGTCCCTCGTATTCCCCAAAGGAGAAGTTGTAAGCTCAACGACCAACATGCTGGTTTGGTTTCCCTTTACTGTCTGCAATTTTTGGCAAAAACCAAGATTATATTGATCTCTGTTTATGACTCATCAGATTGTCAGAGAAGGGGACCCAGTGAAGAGGATGCTGTTCATAGTGCGCGGCCACCTGCAGAGCAGCCAGGTGCTCCGCAACGGCGCCGAGAGCTGCTGCATGCTGGGGCCGGGCAACTTCAGCGGCGACGAGCTGCTGTCGTGGTGCCTGCGCCGGCCGTTCCTGGAGCGGCTGCCGGCGTCGTCGTCCACGCTGACGACGCTGGAGAGCACGGAGGCCTTCGGCCTGGACGCCGCGGACGTCAAGTATGTCACGCAGCACTTCCGGTACACCTTCACCAACGACAAGGTGCGGCGCAGCGCGCGCTACTACTCGCCCGGGTGGCGCACGTGGGCGGCCGTGGCGGTGCAGCTCGCGTGGCGCCGGTACAAGCACCGCAAGACGCTCGCGTCGCTGTCCTTCATCCGCCCGTGCCGCCCGCTGTCGCGGTGCTCGTCGCTCGGCGAGGAGAAGCTCCGCCTCTATACCGCGCTGCTCACGTCGCCCAAGCCCAACCAGGACGACCTGCTGTGACTGAGATGCATTGCATGCGCGACAGGAAGGGCCGCGCGCGTGTCTGCAATCTGAACAACGAGCCATGGAGCACGGGCTGTTCTGTTCAGCGGAGTTGAAGCAAAATGCAGAAAGGTGAAAAGAAGCTGGTTCTCCAGAGGGCTTCAGCAATCAAGTGAATGGCTAAAAGAACTCGAGCATTGGAGCTCCGTGTGTACGGCATTACTGGTTGAGTTGACTGGTTCTCTGTTGCATGCGTGGATGGGCCTCTCAAAGAAACTATTTAAGCCTGGCTTTCTTCTAGTGCATGTCCAGCACCTAACAGTTTTTTTTTTTTTTAATATACACCAGCCTGCCTAACATTTTAGTTCCTCCTCCTAAAATTTACTTCATATCACATCGAATGTTTGACATATGTATGGAGTATTAAATAAACTAAAAAATAACTAATTGCATAATTTACGACTAAGGCCCTGTTCGCTTGTCTTATGAGCCGTACTTTTTCAGCAAATGAACGGTGTTTTTCTCACCCAACAAATCAGTCAACAATACTTTTCATGTCTTTTCAGCAAAGCGAATAAAGCCTAATTTGCGAGACAAATCTTTTAAGCATAACTAGTCCATGATTTGACAATGTGATGCTACAGTAACGCATGTGCTAATGACGGATTAATTAGGCTTAATAAATTCATCTCGTGAATTACTGACAGATTCTGTAATTTGTTTTTTTATTAGTATCCGAACACACCCTGCGACACCCCCATATGACACCTGATGTGACACCCCAAAACTTTACACCCTAAATTTAAACAATGCCTGATAGGAGAAAAAATGTAGATTGTTTAGGCACCAATATAAAAGTGATAAGAAACCTAGCAAAAACATATACTTGATCGCCAATGGCCAACATAACTCAAAACTGACAGAATCAAAACAGATATAGCTAGAGAACATATTGCCCTACATCCAAAACAAATGCATATCTCCAAGGTAAAACGAATAACATCTGAATCGCTCAGTTTGCATCACGAGGTAACAAAAGAATTGGCAAGGTCAAAATTTGGTATCAGAAACCTTGCTAGGCTAAGCTTCGAAAATAGTGGGACAGCAAAACTGATGCAAGTAGTACTAGTAGCATCTAGAACGTAGGGAGATTTGAATTTATATGCTACTTGAGTCCCTTCCAAAGATGAACCGCCTCCCCCAATCTGATACGACCAGCATCCTTGTGCGCCAACTGAATTGTTTGCTGTATTTAACAAGAGCAAACGACAATGAAAACCAGCATTCAATTAGATATATGTAAGATGGAACATACCGAGACCGGAACAAGAACATACCTTGCATAGACAGAATACCACAGCCATTGGGTGCTGTGTCCAACATGTACCCAGTCACCAGGCAATTGATAAGCAGTTTGCTCTCCACCCAGTGGAGCGAATTGCCCAAGATGCCTGTACCTGTACATCACACGACAAAAGATTAGTAATTGCTCGGTTCCGGACGAACAATCATAGCCATGCAAATGGAAGTAATATTCAGTTACACATATCAACTATCAAGTACAGCAAAGTTACAAGTATGTTTTTGACAGAATTTAGTAATCTAGATCAGTTACTTTACTTCCTCCATGGGGAGGCATATGATAGCTTGGAAAACGGACCTGAAAGGTTTGAACCGATGGCGCCCTGCACCTCTGATCCTTATAGGACCCTCAGGATATTCTTCACACGTCTTCATTCTGTTGAAGCAGTCTGCTAGGTAACTTCCCTCTTGTGCGGCAACCTGAACCAACAAGCAGTGCAACGTTAGCACATAAATTACAGAAGTGATCTTGCCACTCTCTGAACTCATGAGTCAGCTGGCCTCTAAAGCTACACGTGAATACCTGAGCTGTTGCTGGGAGCATCTTGACTTGAGAGTCCACTTGAGCTAGGGCCTTTTTGAACTGTTCGATATCCAGTTCTTTCAACTCCTTGGAGCTACCATCCGAGTCTTTAAGTAGATCGTGGAAGCCCTTCATTTGGTTGGATTTAAGATACAATTCCACTTGTGGGTATCTCTCATAGATGTCTCCAAGAACATCTTTTATTTTCTTCACAGTTAAAGTGCCAGAGTTATCCTTGTCTGCTACTCGGAATATGGCAGCAACATCTTCCTGAAAATGTTAATATGACCCAATAAATATGTAAGCACATTCTAAATACTACTCCCTCCAGTCAGCTTCATATGATGTTTCAGACAGCGATTTTGACCTGCTTGCAGTTTTATTTTGCTGTCTGAAATGTCATATAAAGATGACCGCAAGTAGTATAATTGATTTCTGCTACGCAAAACATTGCAGCAGCATGTATCTTACTGAAAAATCCATTAATACAGCCCATTAAACATGCATGTAAGAAGATTGTGCTAGCTGACACAATATAGAATTTATTTGATACAAAGTATTTGTATTTATATTGACAAAACAAACATATCAGTAGCTAGGAACTCAACACTAAAGCAACAACAATTTTCTAATTGGTTCCTCTCTGTGTGACAACAGCAGATACTTTTGGTATTAGAGACAGATTATAAAAAAAAGGCAAAGACAATACACACAGTTGCCATTCTTAAGAACAAGCTAGATGCAGGTGTCAGTTTGAACAAAGAGAGGACGCCACGAGTAGTAATTTTGATAAATAGGTGTCATACCCATGGTGTGCTTATTGGTATAACATGTTTTAAAAATTCAATAGCATGAACATACCATAACTTTTCTTTGAGCAATTGTTGCGCAATCACCAAGAGCATATACATCCTCACACCCTTGAACCCTAAGCCACTCATCAGTAGCTAGAACACGCCGATTCCCCTGCAAAAGTCATGTTGATATTAAACTTGGTGTGTACATGGACAATTTTCACTCGTGAAGAGAACAAGAATACAAGATATACCTGACCAAGTTGCTTCATGAAATCCATAATGATGGGACGGGTTCCAATTCCAGTTGACCAAACTGCCATCCCATAAGGAACAGCGACCTCTCCTGTAGCAGGATTGGACATGGTAATATCCTTATCAGACACCTTCACGACCTTAAAATTTGTCTTCAAATCTATGCCATCCCTCTTGAACTTCTCTTCAGCAAATTGAGTGATTCTTTTGTCAAACCTAAATAAACCATGAAATATTTATAAAAATATTGCAACAGATTTAAGATATCAGGAGGCAACAGGTGCATTAAACACATAGGCTGATTCAGGAGATTTTTCTTGAGCCTTTCATATTATAACTGCATAAACATATGAAACGCCGCATAAAAAATAGCAATTATGAGACACCAAATCTTCAGAAACACTTTTTTGTTCTTTATTACAAAAAAGAAAAAGAAGACACATCTAACCATTTCATTTGGTCTCTCCACATAATTAGAATGAGTGAAGTAAACATCAAATCAAAGGAGTTAAAAGCATCAAACGAACTTACATTGTAAGGATATGACCTCCTGCTTCAATTACTGAAATGTTTACATACTTCTTTACATCAGGATACAACTTTGCCAAGTCTTCATTCACAAAGTCGTGCAACTCTGCAGCAAATTCAACCCCTGTTGGGCCACCACCAATAACAACGAAATGAAGGTTCTTCTTTCTCTCTTCCTCAGAAAGGTTTGGAAGGGCAGCTCTTTCAAAACATTTCATGACACTCTTCCTGATCTTTTGAGCATCTTCTACTTCCTACAATAGTAACACTATCAAAAGGCATTCAATTGTACAAAATATATTAAAAAAACGTTAGGATCATTACATGTTACATCAAGAGCAGCATAAAACAGCAGGTCATGGATAAACACAACAAGTAAACCAAATAATAAAATTTAACTTTGCTCTAAATCAAACTTCACTAACTTTGACCAAGTTTGTAGGAAAGAAAAACACCAATATCTACAATATCAAATTAGTCAAATTAGTTCCATTAAATTCTCTATAAATCATGTCTTGATAGTGCATTTTATTTGAACTTGTAGATGTTAATGTATTTTTTTCTAAAAACATGGTCAAAGTTAGAAGTTTTTCGTAGGACAAATCTAAAGTGACTTATATAATTGAAAATGTAGGGAGTAGGACCCAAGGTAAATCTGGCATCTATATAAAAATAAATAAATAGCATGCAAAACCTTGTTCATCAATTCAACTAGGTACTTCATTGCTTCACTAGGCCTTACAGTACTTACCTTTAGGAAATGGCAATTCTCAGTAACACCAGGGGTGTTGAAAGTATTAGGTCTAGCCCCAACACTGACAATCAGGTAATCATAATCCACAACAAATTCACCGTTTCCATTAATGTTCGTCCCAACATCTGATCTGCAGTGGACTTTTTTGTTTGTTGGATCAATCTTGAAGCACTCAGCCTCCCAAAATCGGAATGCACCATTTCTCTACAGAATGTTATGCACAGATCAGTTGCAGAACTAGCACTTTATTATACATATCAATTGTACAGTCCATAATATATCCTATGTACTGACACAGATTAAAAAAAACAAAAAAGATGATCATATCATAGCCATAAGTACTACAAATTTGGAGCATATTCCCTTTTAGAGCTATATGGACATACCTTTCTCACGATATTGCGAATTGGCTCCACGATACTACGTGCTTCAACTGTGCCACATGTCACACTTGGCAACAAAGGAGTGAAGGTGAAGTAATTGCGAGGTGATACCACATGGACATCATACAAAGATGTGTCGATATTTCTCAAGAAACTTGCACCTGCCCATCCAGTTCCAAGGATAACCACCTTCTTCTTGTTTCCAGTCCCATCACAAATTTGAAGAACCCGGTTATCTTGACAAGCATAAGTTAAGGTGCTAGCTCTACAAAAAAAAATGTTGAAAGTGTCACTCCTGAAATATACAAGTGAAATGACACTACACTAAGTAAAAAAGTGAAGTGTGCCTGTTGGATTGCCATAACATTTAAAACTGAAGTTTCCTTGACACTTTCCTGATATATCCACAAATTGATAAC